TACAAGCCTGTGTTTTTGTGTGTGTGTCTGTGTGTGTGTCTCTGTGTGTGTCTGTGTGTGTCTCTGTTTGTGTGTGTGTGTGTCTATGTCTGAACCTCTGCGTATGTCTGTGTGCCTGTGTTCTTGTGTGCGTGCCTGTGAGTGTACGTTTGTGCCTGTGTCTGTGTGGCGGCCTCGGGCAGGAAAATATGCGAAGGTTCTTCTAGGCCTTAAACACTTTTGGGACCGCTTTCAGGCCTCTGTCTTTATGTGTGTCTGTGTGTCTGTGTTTGTGTGTGTGGCTATCTGTGCGTGTGAGTGTGCCTGTGTTTGTGTGTGTGTGTGTATGTGTGTGTCTGTGTGTGTCTGTGTATCTGTGTGTTCTTGTGTCTGGTTGTGTGCGCATGTGCCTGTGTGTGCTTGGTTGTGTTAGTGGTTGTGTCTGCCTGTGTGTGTCTAACTGTTTCCGTCTAACTGTGTCCTTGTGTGCGTGTGTCTGTGTGTGAACTCGACTGCCACAAACGAAAGTGGTTAAAGGCCTATAACAGTTCTGGGAATGTGCTTGCGTTAGTCTCTGCCACTGTGCACAGACAGACACAGGCATGGAAACAGACACAAAAAGACATACGCACACAGACACGGGCTGAGTCTGTGTTCGTATGCGGTGCACAAAAAGACATACGAACACAGACACGGATTGTGTCAGTGTGTCCGTGTGTGCCTCTGTCCGTGTATGGCCGTGACCGTGTTTCTGTGAGTGTGTCCGTGTGTGCCCCCGACATTTCCCCCGCCTTCCGCCCGCCACCTTCCCCCGCCCCCCCTCACATTACCCCCGCCTTTCTCCACCTTCCCGGATTTACCAGAGGGGATCGGGTCCGATCTCGGATGGCGGACGCAGATGGGGCCGCGTCCGCGACCGACCTGGTCCGCGCCGCCGACCTGATTTTACCAGAAATTTCCTGAATTAAATAATAGGTCAAAATATATATATATATATATATATATATATATATATATGGGGTTGTAGGGAATTTTAAGCCCTATAACCCCATATTTTTTTTTTTGGAATCCAACTTTGTTTAGGATTTTAAAAAAATCAAAAACTAAATTCGATTTTAAAAAAAAAATAAAGAAAAGTTGGATTTTTTTTTTTCATTTTTTATCATTAGATATATGGTCCCTGAGTTTACCTGTATTTTTTTAGAAATGAATTGCTGTTTTTTTGCAGGGGTATGAGGTGTTTTAAAAAAATGCAAATGCAAATTTTGAAAATAAAGAAAGAAAAAACTTCAAAAAAGGGGTTTGATTGATTGATTGATTGATTGATTGATTGATTGATTGTAAGTGAGTGAGTGTGTGTGTGTGTGTTTGTGTGTGCTTTTGTGTGTGTGAGTGTGTGCGTGTGTGTGTGTGGCGGCGCGCGGACAGCGCACTTCTGTGAGAGAGAGAGAGAGAGAGAGAGAGAGAGAGAGAGAGAGAGAGAGAGAGAGAGAGAGAGAGAACACCTATGTGTGTGTGTGTGTGTGTGTGTGTGTGTGTGTGTATGTGTGTGTGTGTGTGCGCGCGTGGTCACGGGGGTGGGGCAACCCCTCCCCCACCAACCAATCAATCCATCAATCAATCAACAAAAAAAAAAAAGAACAACAAAATTGAATAAAGGAATAAATAAATCAATTAATCAATCAATCAATCAATCAATCAATCAATCGATCAATCAATCAATCAATCAATCAATCAATCAATCAATCAATCAATCGCGGGGGTCTCCCCCACCAGTCAATCAATCAACCAACCAATCAACCAATCAATCAATCAATCAATCAATCAATCAATCAATCAATCAACGAAAAAAAAAACGACGAAACTAATCAATCAATCAATCAATCAATCAATCAATCAATCAATCAAAGGCGGGGCGGGGCG